AAAAAACACCACAAAAATGCCTAGCTCCTCTGCTGTGCTGTTGTTTGCAGATCTTCTACTTGAGACACCTGCTTACCTCAACCACGGGTCTCCTCTCAATACCTCAGTTCAAAGCCAGATACAATCAGATGAAGACATCTACACGCATGAATGCGAGCAAAACTTCCTCCCATTTCCCGACTTCAATTTCGCCACCATTCACTTCCAGGAAGACAGGCATTGATGTCAAATGGTAGAGTGTCTGAGGTCTACGGGAGTTCTCCAAGACAATGGGTTAGTATTTGATTCACCGCTTGCTCCTGGCGAAACATGCACGGCTGGGCAACAGCACTGGTGCAATTACACCCTAGGTCGAGCTCCCAGGAAAGTGATGCAGCCTTACCCGCCCGAATGTTTGGGGGGCCTGTACACCCTCGCGAACCTTCCAGGGGCCGGCCAAATGCTGGGGGACCACACTTAGCTGTGTTCGGACCCCCCCCAATGACTCGTCTGGGGGTTCTTCTTGTCTTTTTCGAATTTTTTACCCGTACACCTAGGCTACAGACACAAAATTTCCAGGTGATTTGGCAAACGAGAAAATGAAGAAAAAAATCATAAAAGTTAGGGGGTTAAAAAAATCACTACTGCAGGTACTCCCCCATCTTCATTTTCTTTTTCTTTCAGTGTAATACCAATCAATCAATCCAATCAATCCAATCAAACAATAAACCAACAATCACCAACAATCTGCCAATCGGTCACCAACAATCTGCCAATCGGTCACACACACACACACACACACACACACACACACACACACACAATCAGTTCCATGTATGTCTCTCATGCATTTGTTGTTTGTCCTGTCTCCCTTAATAAGTGCAAGACAGAAGATGTCCCGCCGTTGTTTGGAGTGCCTGCAGGACTCTCAGGGGAGGCGCTCTATCCGTGATGTCTGTGTGGTGCATATGGTCTTTCGGTGATGACAGGCGTCCGTCGGAGTGACTCCCTGGCTCAGCGGGTGGTGGGAACCAACAGTCTGCCGGGTTCACCTGTAATGTCATGAGGAGGTGATGTGCCAGTTTGCTCCGTGCTGGGTGTGTAGACTGCCTTGCCATGTCTGTGCCGCGCCACTGCTTTGCTGCTCCTCCTGCTTGCTTCGCGTGTTGCTCTGCTGTGTTCGCTATCCTGTGCCTCGCTGAGCCGTTGTCTTGCTACCCATCTGCCTGCCTTGCTTGTGTGCCGTGTAGTGTGGCTGCGGTGTTGGTGTTGCTTTGTGCTTCACTGCGCTGTTGCCATGCTGCTTGTCCGCATGCACTGTCGTTCCTTGCAGTCATTTTTGGCGTTGTGCAACCGTGTTGCCTCTGCTGCATTGCCTGGTGATTCGGAGGGGTTTGCTGCCCGCCGCTATGTTCCTCCTGGGGACAGTCTGCCCTCAACATGGGTCAAACGGTTCATGACCCAAACCATCAACTACGGAGATTCTGCAGACTGTCAAGGCTCCAGCCTCCTGATAAGTCGGTGCAACTCGACGCAACAATTTTTCTTTACTGTTTTCGATCTTTGCATTTCTTTTGGGACTTGTGATTTTCCTGTTTCTGCCTGGGGACGGTCTGCCCTCAACATGGATCAAAGGGTTCATGACCCAAACCATCAAATATGGAGATTCTGCAGATTGTCGAGGCTCCAGCCTCCTAACGAGCCGACAAAACAATCCTTCATAATCAGTTTTACTTTTTTTCGGTCTTTGCATTTTTTTGGGACTCGTAATTTTCCTGTTTACCTTGTTGTTTCCTTGTCTTGCTGCTGCTTGGCGTGGTCTTGTTCGTTGCTTTCTAGGGCTTAGGGTTTAGGGTTATAGTGGTGCTGTTTTGTCTGCCCACCCGCCTCCACCTCTCCACCTCTCCAGCCTGCGTTCTTTTCTTTGCTGCTGCTTGACCACCCAATGCTGTGCTGCCTAGTGTTGTTTGTCTACCAACTAACCTCCCCCATGCTTTCCAGCCTTTGTCCCTTGTTGCGACTGCCTCCTACCCTTGGCATTACTGTTGTTTGTCTGCCCACTATCGCCACCCCCGTTCCCTCCAGCCTTTGTCCCTCGTTCCTGCTGTCTCCTACCCTTTGCCTTACACTTTTTTGTATGTCTGTCAGTCTTCTCGATTCAGACTTGCTCTTTCAACCATGTCTGTCAGTCTTCTCGATTCAGACTTGCTCTTTCAACCATTCAAGCGAGGCTCTTGCCATGAGGATGTGGTTCGTTCGTATGGAAGTCTCTGCTTTGAATGCTGGCCTTGTGTTCCACCGTGCCTAATGTTCTGATGCGCTATTTTGGGGAATGGTTGTCTGATGTCAAGCTTGGTCGCTGGGATCACATTTCAATTATTTACCCCCCCCCACACACACATGGCCTGCAGCAAGGAGGGGCTTTCAGCTGTTCGGCAGACAACTTGCCCTCCCCACTGAAATTATTTCTTTTCGGAAACAATGTTGAGGACAAGAAACACCCCCACCTCTGCAGTCAAAGATTAAGTCAACAGGAGGTTTTTGTGTTTGCTACACAATCTCCAAGATCCGTCGACAAGCTTGAAATTTTAAAGATCGTTTGGGTTGTTCAGTTGAATCCAACCTCTGGTCGAGCTCAATCCGCCCATTTTGTGCGAATTTTGTCCAACAGATTCATACCACTCACAGAATCTGTTATCGAGAAAGGCAAAACTTCATTAGAGAACAGAAAACACAAAAACAATAAACCACAAGCGCCCGGCCCATACATCAGCTGGGCAGCTTCGACAAACGCATCGCGCTAACTGGCCTTCCGGGCTAAGCTTCTGTATCTGTATGACAACGTATTATTATTGAAATATTCATACCTCGTATTTTATCGATTTTATCATAATGAATTTCAGGAAAAAATTATTGTTCCTTTATGCCAAAATGGACCGGACCACAATGGCTCGTGGTGCCAGTCGAAAAAAAAAGAACAAGTCGTGCTGGCGGTTCGACAACGCTTGGCGCGCAGGCGGTTGGAGCCCCGGAAGAAAGTGGCCCAGAATTACTACTGAAAGTTTGACATCAACCGCGGATCGAACACTGGAAAAAGTTTTTTTATCGAACGAACCTGGAAGTTCTACCCTCTTCCCCCCAAATTCATCCCAGCATTGCTTTACGTTGCACACGTCCGTTCACCATGAGCATTAACTGTGTTTGGGCACAGATGGTGGCATGCTGCTAGTCAAGCTGCTACGGCTCGTCGGTCTGCCACCGAAGACCGCCTCCGACATCTCGACAGAGAGCAAACATGGACAAAACAAGCAGGGCAAATTTCAAAGAATGTCAGGGGTCTACTCTTGTTAGTTGGTATCATCAAACTCAATTGGTGACTACCCTCTTCACCCAAAAAGAAAGCCCGGTCATTATAGAAGTACTAGGGGCATCTGTGAGTCTAGACACACAGATAATTACCCAAACTTACCAGGGGCGTTCTATTCAGGTAAAGATGGTCATTATAGAAGTGCTAGGGGCAACTTGCCCAGGCGGCTGGAGTATCCCAGACCTGACATGGTGCCCGCCTAGGTAGCATGGCTGGACCAAGTTCCGGCAAACTTCTCTGGAGTTAAAACCACCAGGATTCACATGGGGCTAAGTTGAAAACGGTACTTTCCGAGGGCTCGCCACCGTGCAGCGGCGCCTTTCCAAAGTGGCCTCTGCCATGTTTGCTACCGGCTCAGGTTCGAATCTTAAAGCTCTAGCTCGCACAGCATAAAACAGTAAAAGCCATACTGTGCTTTGAGTGAACTCGCGGTTTGGAAAAAAAAGGCATGAGGCCACGGACTTCCAAAAGAATCTGGAAACTTGGAAGGTCCTTGCTCAACCCGTTAATTGGTTTGTTCCTCTTTTCATTGGTGCTCCTGCTACGGCCTCCTTTTCGACTAACAACATCAGTTTTAAGCATGCTAACTGGACAAACGTCCGGACCGGGTTCCAGATTAGTCCAGAACAACATGTGGGGGTCCAGGAGGAACCCAGGGCAAAAAAAAAGAGAAAAAAAAAAAGAGGAACCCAGCAATTTTTTCGGGTCCTGGCCGCCCCCTGAAAAATAACGGGGTGAATTTTCAGTGTCCTTTCACCCCGGAGGACACGGCCTAGAGGCCCAGACACCTGACATCCCACTGGGGAGAGAGAGAGAGAGAGAGAGAGAGAGAGAGAGAGAGAGAGAGAGAGAGAGAGAGAGAGAGAGAGAGAGAGAGAGAGAGAGAGAGAGAGA